TCACTTCCTTCTGCGTTTCATCAACAGGAGTAATTCCATGACTTAATCTCCCCAGATTAGCTTCCTTCGATTCCTCCCCTTGACCAAACAAATCATACAATCTCTTTGGCTCAGGTTTCTTTGGTTGCTCCACCTTAACTACCCCCTCCTCCTGCTCTTTTATGAATTTTACTTCCCTAGGTTTTTTCAATTCCCAAGATAATGACGCGTGGAAGAAAGGCGACTTTAAATCTCAGGATCGGGCAGCTAAAATTTGGTATAACTGACTCTTGTAATTTTTTGCTATATATCTACAACATTTTTAATATTTTAAAAGTTGAAATTTACATTATAACATAGTTATATGTATTTATTTGTTCTAAATTATATTTTTACCTTTTTTTATTTTAACATGATTTTATTCTTTTTAATGCTCCTTTCTTGTTATTACTGAAGTAACTTATATTTATATCATTATATATGTCTTCAAGCTTCGCTCCTTAACTTGAATGGTTCCTTCTTTCAGGCATAGGCGACCAAGGAGGGAATATGAAGAACCTCAAACGCGGAATGGTGATGTTTCTCTGGACGATCTGGGTTTCATCAAGCATTACCAGAGGGATTGTATTAGTAATATTGATGTGATTATTTTTAGAGATTAAAAATATCATAAAAATTTGAGTTATTCAGTATTTATTTTTAAAATTATTTTTGTGTAAAGAAAGATGCTGCATGTCTCTGTTTTGCTTTCTGTTTCGTTAGTTTTTTCCGGTTGTTTTTCTGTTCCTCTGGGCCAGCCTCTGCTCATGGGTTATTTGGGGATGGCCCAAATGAACCATCTGTAATGGGCCGGCCATTTATTACCTTGTAATCCTTTTATCTTGTTTAAAGAAGTTGTCTTTGGCTCATATATAGAAATGTGAGGGAGAGGTCAGCAAGATGAAGGGAGAGTGACGAGAAGAAGTAGTGATGAAATAAATAAATAAAAAAAAGAAGAAAAATAGAAAGAGATGGATCGAGAATAGAAGAATGAATCGGTGAAAAAATAAAAAAGTATCCTCAAGGACGTCGGAGACATGAAAAGCCTTGAGAGACATTATAAGAGAAGGGAATGAGAAAGGAAGTAGGCAGAGAGGAGGAATTTTAGCCTTGAGGGGTTATGCTTCTGCCTTTCACATTTGTATCACACTAACTGTAATGGAAATGGTTCTCCCCTTTTTCAACTCTATCAACGATTTTGAGGGCATTATCTTTTTATGAGAGAATCAATACTTTTATGGTTCATTCAAACGCATTTATTTTTATCATATTTTTTTAAATATAATCCTTACAATGCTTTCCCTCTCATTTTCTTCCTCTCTTCAATTAGATTCCTTTCCACTACACGGCAAATCATCCTTATATAAACAAAAGGAATCCCTTATAACTTTCAGTTTCAGAACCTCCTTTAGCAACCTGTTGACGGTTTTTATTAAGAGTTCACGTGGACCTTGTTGATCAATACTTCTTTTTCTTACATAATGAGGTGCTAGCAGGTAGTTAAGGTCTTTTTTTTTTTTTTTTGGTAATGTTGGTCCTATTTAAAGTCATTAATTATGAGGGGAAAAACGTAGTACAAATCTATAACTTTTCTATTGAAATATGGATAAAATAAAAAAATTATTTCATTTTTAGGTAAAGTTAATAATATAATAATCTCCCATTAATATTAAAAAAAAAAGACCATAAACATGTCTGGAAAAGGTGGATGTGTGAGGGAGTAATTTACACTAAGTTTCCGTTAAATAATTATTTCAAGGATGATATATACAAGCCAATCATCAAAGCATTGGTTGATTTTATTTTTTCCTTCTCCTACAACAATTCTCTAGAGAAATAAATATATATGATTATCGTTAGAGACTCGAGATTCTTTTAATCAAAACATTACGAGGAAATAAAACTCAATATTAATTTATAACATGATGGTGGTAAAATCTATTAAAAATATGATGGAGAGTCATAATACAAATAATTATGATGCGTAATTTTGCTCCCTGTATTACTAAATAGAACTGTTGAAGTAAGTACAACTAAGATAAAAACACTCGTAAATGATCTAAACTCTAGGTGCTTGGGGTAAGCTTTAAGTGGGCCCCACACCATAAATCTCTCCTTTGCCTTTTTTTCCCCCTAATTATGAGCCATTTACGGTGAATCCATCCCCACTCATCTCTTTTTTTGCGGCTTTTTTGTTAAAAAAAAAAAAGATTTATTACTCCTCCAGTCTGTAAAACCCATTTTGCACCATCTTAAGAAACTTCATGCATTAGTATGTATGCAGCCTGTCCTTAAATAATGAGAAAAGCATAGATGTGAATAATTGTGATGATCATGTTTAGTTTGAATTTGTGCGTTCTTGTTATGTATTCCTCCTTAATTTGCAAGAGATGATGAATTTTTATTACTTACAAAAGAAAAATTAGCCGGTAGTCTTGCATCAGCTAGAAAAAAGCTTTTTGCCCCTTCAATTACTATTTCTCAGCTAGTGGGTCCCACCATGTATTATGACCACCATTGTATTTGAATGAAATTCAAAGGATGCTTCCCTCTCAATCAAGGAACAAAAAACCGGACCGGAAACTAAACCGGTCGAGATACTGGGTTAAGGGTTACTGATCTGACCGGGGTCGGACCGGGGTGGACCGGTCACATTAAAATAATAAAATTTAATTCACAATATTAAAGTGGAACAAATAATACAGCCTTCTCCTCTTTATAAAATTAATCTAAAAGAATCAAATCAACATTATAATCAAAATTATAATCAATATAGGAGGCAGCACTTGGCATCTAGATTCCTGACAACTCTTAGCTAGTGAGCGCGCGCAGAGAGGGAACTAAGCCAAAGCCACTGCCAGGATGTCACCATCCCTCCTTCTCATCATCACCCAAGGTTATAGCTTTTCCAGGCACCCTATGATAGAAATAAAATAATGTTTTAAATATCAATTTTCCCCGTATTTTTATATTGTTTCTGGCTAATCACATCACCAATATATCGGTATCCATTTATCATATGGAATCTATAAAAATACCTGCCAAATTGTTCCATATCTTTTTATCTATTTTCAGATCCCAACGTCCAGCTTCTCTCCATCGTGCTTGAAAAAGACACTCAAAGCATGAGCTAGCCATTAAGCTTCTCGTTCCACACATTCCAACACCCCCTATTCCCATTTGCTTTAAAAATATTGATATGCTCACACTTCGCGACTCACAGTCTCACACTCACACACCGACTCATTCCTTTCCTCTCGCAGTTTGTAGAAATGGTTGGATTTGTAGACGTTTCTGATACGAACGCCGAGTCGGCCATCGACCAAATCATCACTCAAGCTCAAGACGCCTACGTTTTGGAGCAGGTTTCCGCCATCAATTGCGCCTCCCTCACTGATTCCGTCCTCCCCACCGACCTTGAATCCCAGTTCCACAAATTCAAATCGTTTCCGGTCACTGAATCAAAGCAGCTTTCGAAGACCTCTGTTTCTTCTCCTTCTAATTCTTCAGATTCTTTAGAGGAAGGTTCAATATCTTCGCTGTTCAAACAAAAATTGGGTTCGAAACAAAAATCAAAAAGTGGGTCGCAGTCTTCTCCTGGGAGCAGGTGCAAGAGATCTCGATGATTTGGTCACAAATGGGGGAGGACTGGAAAAGGACCGAGGGCTCGAGTCTGGCAGGTTAGGGAGGGAGAAAGAGTTTTTTTTTTTTTAAGGCCAAACCGTGTGAACCGCCCAACCGGTTTTTTCCGGTTTAACATCGGTTTTTACCGGTTGGACTGGTTCCCCACCGGTTCAAACCGCCTCCGGTTTTTTCTCCAAACCAGACCGGACTGGTGACCGGTTCACCGGTTTTCCGGTTGAACCGGCCGGTCCGGTTCGGTTTTTTTTACCTTGCTCTCAATTGTCACCGAAGTTTACTATTGTTAGGTTCTTTAGTCTAAAGTATAACTCTTGCTTTTGATGTTCATGGGAAAGGAATGGGAAAACCACTGCCATATTTAATTTGATTAACAAAGATAGAAACTAAAACTATTGTCACATGGGAGGTGCCTGCTGCTTTCTTTCAATTATCTTTTCTCTTAATTTTTTCTGAGTTTCAAATTATTGTTTTCTTTTTTAAATTATTAGATTATATCTAAAATGACTAACATTTTAAAATCTTATGAACAAGAAATGGTGTAATTTTGAATTTCTTATATTTTTTAAAGAAAAATATTGTAAAATTGTGTGGTTCCTTATTTAAAAATAAAAATAAATAAAACTATATTATTTTTTGCCCATAAAATATCAAAATGTCATTATTTTTTGTAGAATTTGATGACAAAACACAAGAAAACGCATTTGGAAAGTGATGAAAAACTAAGAAGGAGCAGCAGACACCCAAATTCATGGGTACTAGGAAGGCCAAGAGATGTTGAAAAAGCATATGTAGATGAAAAGGTTTTTTTTTTTTCGGTGAAGAAGACAAAAGAGGTTTAGCTAATAAGGTTTGTCATGGGTTTGTGATTGGGTTTGGACACTCACTCTTTACCAAAAACAAAACTCTCAAGATTGGCAACTTTGTTTGAATAATCCTATTATCCATCATCACGAGAAAACTAAGCAAGAATGAATTAATTAGCATTTTGCATTAGGAAGTTCAATAAAAACAAGATTTATATATTTATAAAGACAAGGCTGTGCCTTGCACTAATTACACATCACATTTAAACTGCAAAACAGAGGAACTAATTAGCACATGTAAATTCTTCTTCACACTTCATGTTATATTTCCGTTCTTTGAATAATATCTACTCGTTTATGAAAGATTGCAATTTTATGCTTGTTTTCTAACCTCCATTCTGATCGAATCATATGGAGTTGGAATTCTTAAGAAGCCTGCTGGATGAAGAGAAATCTTTATTACACAAAAGAGAAACAGAGGAATCAAACCATTGAGCCATCCATTACTTCGAACCCTTTCTTTGCACTTTCATATGAGAATGCAGAAGCAGCTAAGGTTTAACTTCTACAATTGTATTTTGATGATGCGCTATCCGTTGCTTCAACCCTTTGCTTCACATTTTCGTGTGATCTTGATGTAGAAGAAGAACTAAAGGTTTGGCTATGGCTTTCTTGAGATGATTGTATCTCTAAGGCCTTGAATCTGGCAACCTGTTGGTCACTCTCCCGACGTTTGATTGTTAGGGCTTGGATTGGCAACTTTCCTTCAAGCATGTAGACAATAGAGGACATGGATGGCCTGAGTGTTGGAGATGGGTTAGTACATAGGAGTGCCAGCTCCAGCATTCTCATGGCTTCCTGTGAGGAGTAGCTTGAACCAAGACTTGGATCCACCAACTCAAGAAGGTTTCCTTGCTCTTGAAGAACATAGGCCTTCAATTACATGAAAGTATGCAATTATTAGAAATTCAATCAAACCATTAATTTTATGAAGAATATTGAATATCACTAACCCAATCAAGAAGGTAAACAAACTCCTTTTTTGGCCTGTAACTTGTGTTACTTTTTCCACTGACAATTTCTAAAGCGACGACTCCAAAACTATAAACATCTGCTTTATCAGTTAAGCATCCTCGCATTGCATATTCAGGGGCCATATAACCGCTAATAAGAAAACATATAATGTTAATAACCAAATTATGAAACAAAGAATGTGCAAGGAAAGTCTAAGAAGAAAAAACCCTATTAATATTATTGTTAAACCAAATATGAGAATTATAGTGATACAATGAAAAAGATGTGGTAGAATATATACTAACATGGTTCCTGCTATTCTTGTGCTTATATGAGTATTTTCATCTTCATCAAGCTTGGCTAATCCAAAATCTGAGATCTTGGCATTCAAATCTTTATCAAGTAAGACATTTGTTGCCTTAATATCTCTATGCACAATTTTCAACCTTGATTCCTCATGAAGATAAGCTAATCCTCTTGCTATTCCTACGCATATCTTCATTCTTGTAGGCCAGTCCAAGTGCATCTTTTGACCTTGGCCACCTAACATTAATGTCAATGGTATCTTAAGTAATAACATATTACTATCAAGTCATTCAATAAAAATTAATTAAATATTTGTAATGCAGAAGTTGTTTCAAACGAGAAAATATATTTGAATTAAAAAAAACCCAAAATACAATATCTAAATTTTGTCTTTTAAAAAATAAAGATATAACTAAAAGTTGTTGGCAAATAATATAAACACGATTTTATATTTTCTGTCATAGTGATGTGATACTGTAACACACACACAATAAGAGACTGTGCATCAAAACAATTTTATTTGTTTATACTCAATCAATTTTATCTTTTCCTTATATATAATACTACATATGGTATTTTTTTATTGTGAAGAATTCAAGTTCTTACCAAAAAGAGCACTAGCAAGACTATTGTTCTCCATGTACTCATATATCAGCAACAATTGATTTCCTTCAACACAACATCCATAAAGCTTCACGAGGTTTGGGTGTTGCAAAGCAGAAATCATTCCAATTTCATTAACAAATTCACGATTCCCTTGTTTTGATTTAGAGGAAAGCTGTTTCACAGCTATGACAACACCATTTGATAGTGTACCCTACAATCCAATTTACCCTTTATTCTCAATATTCATAATATTTCTTGAGCAAAATCAATATGTCTTAAAGAGATAATCTCTTTACAAGTATATTTGATCATATGATATTGGTTAAAGATAAATATGATACATTAAAAATTACCTTGTGCACTGGCCCAAAACCTCCTTCACCAATCTTATTTTCTGGGGCAAAGTTATTAGTGGCATCTTTGATTTGTTTTAAAGAGAAATAACCCGTTTTTAGATCTAAAAGTTCTGCATCAAAAATAAAAGTTATAGGTATACAAAGAAAAATACATTGAAATTGCAAGAAACTTAGAAATAATTAGGTATATGCAAAAATCATTATTTATCCATTTGACTTGCGTGATAGAATTCAGGCATATAAAAACTCATTTTTTCACTATTTTATACCAAATTATCAATAGATATACCAGCTTTATTATTTTTTATTTTGATCTTACGTTTGTCTTTTGAATCTTTGACACCTAGTAAGCCCATTTTTCGGAGGATGAATATTATTATTAGTATGATGAGGAGCACACATGATCCAACCACAATTCCAGCAATGGCTCCACCAAAAATCCATGGAATTTTGAAATCTACATGACAAAAAGCAGTAATGCTTACGATTCATATTAAAGTCAAAATCATCATCACTAAGCTTAAGCTAGAAAGAGCGTAAACCAATAAAAATGAGATTTGACTTACTTGGGGTGACTGAAATAGCAGATATAAGAGGTCCATATACACCATTGTTTTCATTGGGAATGCTTGTAGTTCCTTTTTCAGCCCAGTATAAATGAATCTCCAAGGTGTTATCATTAACATCAACACTAAAGTCCTTGACAATGCCCTTACCAACGCCGCCGGCTTCCCTCATAATGTTGAAATCATGCAAATATTTCCTACCCTGTCAAGATATACACACAAAAGTTTCACCTTTCAGAGCTTTTGTTAATGTACATAGCAAAAACAATTGAAAGCATGTTAAATCATTATATATGGTAATAGTCCTTGTCCTGTAAGAGTTCACTTATTTTTTTTTTTTAGGAGGGGGGGAAGGGCTCACCATAGGTAGGGCTGTTCTTTATTTTGAGAAATTCTTACATACTCCTAGAATGTCAACTCATCTATGCTCTATCTGGAAAAAAAAATGCTCCAAGTATCTTTTTATATAGATCCCACAAATTTCTATCATAATGGGTCATGGAGAAAGGAAAATAATCAAAAGAAATTTGTGGGATGTGAGATCTACAAGAAAGGACACTTGGAACATTTTTATTGGAGAGAGTATAGATGACGTGACACTTTAGGAGTATGTAAGTATTTCTCATTTATAATTGGCCCTTTAGCCACCCATTAAAGAGATACATAAACGTAGTGTGGTGAGCTCGCCTGATAGTGAGACATGCCACGATATTTATTTCTCTATGGATGAAGAGCCTTATTTTCTCACTATTCATGAAATTCTCTATTCATTACAAAAGAAAAAAATAAATTCAACATAGTGAGATTGAGACTCACTTGGATTGAAACATCAAAAATGCGTCTTCCAACATGATTGAAATCTTGATCCTGAGAATACATAATCTCAGCAAAATAGAGCTTGACGTTGTAATTTCCGTTAATCATACAGAGGCCATGGTACTTGAGAGACAAAGGGGAAATGCGAGCTGTTTGATAGAAGTCAGGACCAGTAATGTTGAGGGAAAATCTATTCGTTGTTATTTTATTATAGTATTTTACTCTTGCTGTGCTGCTATAAGCCCATTTATCATCACTAGGGCAAAAGAATGAGATAGGCTCAGGCCTGATGTCACCTTCGTATTTATTCCCCTCATAAATAATTTGTGGTCCTCCACAATTTATGAACAATGAATGATCTGCATAGGTAGGAACAACCTCATCAAAAAGCATGTCTAGAAGAGAATCCAAATTATCAAATTTATATACTGTAACATGACATTGATAGCCATTTCGTCGTTATGTTGACTAAGATCTACATTATTTAGTTAAAACTCTTGAAAGGCTTCATGATGGTTTTTTAGGTGATTTATTTGTTTTTATTGAAAATAAAATACAATTAAAAAAAAAGATAATGTTGGTGGAAACTCTTAAACAAGCAAGAAAACATTGATGTACAAAAGTTTAATTAGGCACTCACATTTGGGTTTTCCTCCACAAGGAAGGCTCCTTTTTAGGCAAGTACATCTACAAGATATACAAAAGTTATAGAACATGAATCAAAAGCATTTAGAACAAGTGAAATAAGATAGCCATATATAAGTATAATCTTACGAGGTGTTTGCTGAAGATGACAGACTTGAAACCAAGTTTCTAGATAATAATTAAAAAAAAGGTTTAGAGTGGCTGCGTGATGCCCTTTAAGAACAAGAAAAGAGTTGTTTTAGGGTGGAGGAGAGGAGCTTACAAATTTTCGTATCGACAATTAGTCGCAGAAGTCTTCGAAAAATTGTTGTAAGATAAATCACTGTAATAGAAAGTATTGTGAAATTACACATGTATGTTTTTTTTCCTGTTATATATTTTTTTATTAGATAAAGTTTAGATGAGTTGGTTGGCAAGGCTCTTCTTGTTTAAACTTCCGCCGCTTATTAATTATAAGCGATTAAAGGGGGAAGAAATTTTTGTTAGTATTTGAATTGAATTATTTCACTTTTAAAAAAAATTAAAAAAATCTGATTTGAATTGGCATCTAGACATTTTTTTTATTCAAGACAAAATGATATTCGGTAAATAAAAGTTTGACAAGTTACTAATAGTAAGAGCACCAACATGAAAATTAAAAAACTTAAGAAAGTAAGGCACAGTAATGACCATACAAGTTTTAGACATCTTGAATGATCAAGACAGTTTTAATAAAAAATAGTGCGTGTAGAAAATTGTGCAGATTAAAATTTTAATATGGCACCTCAAGTAAAAAAATAATTAATACAAAATCCTAATAACAAATGAATAGTTGACATTTTCTATATTGAAATTTGTCATTGCATGCTGCTCTATTATTATGGGGACTTATGTTCCTTCTTTGAGACTTCATAACAATTCTCCTAAATTTTTTATATGTCAAAGCTCAAGTCAAAATGACATTATGCAAAGGGAATTAATTAAAAATGACGAGAGACTTAAAGGCTAAAGATGTTTTTGTCAATAAGATTTACGGTATTTAATTTCAAATAGTAATGGCATTAAACTATATGTAGTATAATGACAAATAGAATTAAAATAAAGATTTTTTACTAACAGATGACCATATTGCCGTTGCAACATCCAATCAGGAATTTTTCCGGTCAGAGAATTTTCAGTTAGCCTCCTACATGCATAATTAATAGAGATCCATTAAAAAAGAGTAATTAAGTTCCAAAAAAAAAAAACAATTATGTATGTGCGTAGAATGCTCCCTTACATGGAATTTAGGAAGGTCAAGCTACTTATACTATTTGGGATTTTACCGGTCAACTTGTTGAAGCTCAAATCTCTGCAATTAATACACGGGCCACAAATATTGCTTCATAAAAATAACTTCAAATAATATTGCTAGTAATGAATAGTCCATAACAAAAGTAAGTAGCTTTAAATTAGGAATTAGGTTGTCAGTTAAATATTAACTTGGGAATATTATTTGAGGATGAGGCAACTTACAGAGTAGTTAAGTTTTCCATTTTACCAATATAATTTGGAATGGAATCATGGATGAAGCAATTTCTCAACACCCTAAGAGAAAAACAAAGTATGAAAACTCATTGAGAATATGTATAGCTCATTTTCAATAAACAAATTTTCACCTCATTGTTAAATTCTCAACTTACAGGATTTGCAAGGACGTCAAATTCTCCAGATTAGGAAATCTCATCATCGCTAGTCCATGCAAATCAGATATTCCCCTGAATTAAAAATTACATAAAAAGTATCAATAATAGGAAAATATTCTTTTGCTGAAATTAAATTTCATAATCATCAAACAGTATGCGGATGAATTACAAAAGACCAAGTACTCACAGTGCAGTCAAATTTCTTAAGTAAGATATGGTTGTAGGAATGGGGCCTTCCATAGATGTTCCCGCCAAATGCCTGCCCAAATAAAAAAGTGGTGGAAACAATAATTTGGAAAGTAAGGGAAATACTTAATAAGCCCAATCCCCACAGTCTTTTTATTTGTTTGGATTAATTTTAATTGCAAAATTTAAAATCATCGCATTATTTTATTTTATTTAGTTACTTAATTAGCTTGGACTAACATACATAATTATATCTCGGTTCAGTTCTGTTTCTTCTTTTCACTCCCACATATATAATTTTTTCTCTCTCATCCACCGCTATTGAGAATTTAAGTAGTTATCAACAACTAATTAGATCATACATTACGCAACCTCCCATCCTTTACTAATAAATCCAAATGACAAGTGATCAACATAAATCTATGGTCATTTTCTACTAAATCTTATCACTACATGTTGCTCAATCGTTGTTGTCTGAATTTTTAGTGATTACATTCTTTTATTAGAGTCCTATAATAATTCTCCCTTCTTTCTTTGTTTTCAACAATTTCCTACAAATTAAATAGAACAATATAATGGAATAGTGAAGCAAATGAAAATAAAGGCACTGAATTTCATTGAGGTCAACACATTAAGTTCATAAAGTAGTATCTTATTTAAAAGGAAAGCATCATGATAGAGAGTATATTAGACTCACATTCCTTGGAGTTGGGTCCAATTCCCAATAAAATTGGATAATTTTCCTGATATATTTGTCCCAAGTAAATAACTGCAAAAATGTTAGGAGAGAAATTTTAGAATTTAAAAGAGATCAGCAGAACATCAAAAACAAAATATAATGAAATGATTGAATCATATTATACCACTCACATATGTTCTAGGTTTTTAAGATTACCAAAACTCTCAGGTATTGCCCCTAAGAAGTTATTTCCAGAAAGATCCCTACAAGTTCCAAATCCTTAGAAATAGATAAAACATCTAAAAGCAATATGAAAAATTATCCATAACAAGACTAATGCGATAGTCATAATAATGCGATTAATAAGATAAAAGAAAATTATTTGCACTTGAAATAATATTCTTACAACTTGCGTAGCTGCTTCAATTTTCCAAGACTAGAAGGAAGAGTCCCTTCCAATAGACTATCTCTCAAATCTCTATAGAAAATACCAAAACCATAAAGTTATTTCTCCATAAAACAATAATTTTTAAAACTCAAAGTGTAATGATTTATACTTACAAATCCTCTAAAGTTGTAATTTCACCAATTTCGTCTGGAATTGGACCACTAATTGGGTTCCCCTTAAGACGTCTAAGACATGTGTTTAAGAGATGAATAATACTTGTGATCAAATAATTCAAGCTTGTATATATATTCATTCACACAACTCTATGATCACTTACAATGCAACAAGAGGGAGTTTAGCAAAGCTCCTTGGGATTGATCCATTTAGATAATTGTAAGACAAATCACTGTGCCGTATACAAAAGTTACATGTTAGATAAAAAATTCCCACATTTCAACTAAGTGAGCACACACATATATTTAAACCAATAATAGAATTAAAAAAAATTCATTACTTACAGTTCTTGCAGATAGGCAAGGAGTCCAAATTCACTTGGTAAAAGTCCAGATAAATTGAGACCTGTGAAAACACTATCATAAAAAGAAAACACGTTACTACAACTATTTACATAGAGGTAAAATAAATAAGTTATGTCATAATTAGCACCCATATGCATTTGAATATTAATTTTATTGCGATGCAGCCATACGGAACTTATTCTAAATATCATATAGAAATGTGTCTCAAGATCAAATCAACTAGTTCTAAATAAAGAAAGAAACAAAAAGTAAGAAAGAAAACTTTTCAACATTATGTGGAGCTCATTAAACACAACTTAATTTAGATTGGATCTTGATTTGTACCCAAATTGAAAGGGTTACATTGTAACCATATGCACAAATGCACTTACATATTTGTAACATGACAAACTTTTCCATTTAAGAAGCTGCAATTGCATGTTACATTCCTTATGATGCTATTTGTTGTGCTAATGGTCTCATTTTTGAAGCCTCCCCCGACACAAGAACGTGGGGTCACATTCCAATTCAAGTTCCCTATCTTTGATGATATTGTTTCTAGAACTTTCACTGCATCAACCAAAATTTAGTTTTTTCAAAAATTGAAAATGAAAAAAATTAAAACCATGCACCATAAAGGAAGAATCTCAACATCTATATTTTATGTTCATAGACATCTGTAAACCTTATATACAAAGAAATTTCAAAGTACTTGCCGTGGCCCACTTTGTTTAATTTTGACATGCATTTGTTATTGATGAACTTCTTTGTTATGAAAGAGGAAAGAGAAAGGAAAAGAGTAATAGAAATAGAGAAGAATTAGAGAAGAGTAGAGGATCAAGAGAAACTGAATAATTTCTAATCACATTGCAAAACTAAGATACAAAGAATGACAAATAATTATTTATAAGCAAAATCCCTAATAAATATAAATCTAAGTAAATATCCTAATATTATCTAAATATTATCTAGATATCCTAATCTATCCAATTCTTACTAATATAATTAAATACTATCTAAATCCTAATAATATTTATTTAAACCCTATTTATATCATATTTAAGTATTTTCTTATTTATAATTATAATTACATAACATTCTCCAACATATGGATCATGCAAAGCTGGTTCAAATTCAATTTAAAACGTTGATAAAGGCTTAGCCTATAAACTTAAGTCATAGTAAATATATATCTAAATTGTTTTTTTTCCCTGGTTGCCCAAAGTATCTTCCTATCTGAACGGTAAGAGACTAATTTCTCGGGATATTGTCAGACGCTGTAACGGAAACCCCTCTTAATAGTATTTTTTTCCTTACACATTGACCCAAGGATTGAACCTAGGATATGATGTTTAAGGAACCCAAGTTCCTTCCACTTGGACCAACACATGTTGGTTGTTTTTTTATTTTTATATTGATTAAGAAATGTCTTCTTATCCAGAACAGCACCGGCAATGCCCAAAAATCACGTTTTCCCTAATAAGCACATCGGAAACTAAACATAAAAATATTTTTTTAATAGGTTAAAATACACAGAACTTTTTAAACTTTATGTCAGTTGTACATTGCCTCCCTAACCTTTAAAAATTTAAAATAATAACCTTGATATTTGGTGTTTTGACTATTAATTCCCCTACCATTAAAATTAACAGCTTTCGTCATGCCATTTTTTTTTATTATATGCCATTCATTTTTTTAAAAAAAATATTTGGTATTTGACATATAATTTTATATACTTTTTATACATAAAAATATAACATACTTAAAAAAATTAAAATATTTATTTCACTATGTCTTTTTAAAATAAAAAAGATAGAAAACGCTTAAAATATTTATCTCAAAAGCCAAACATTATTTTTTAAATGAAATGGTATATAATAAAAAAATATAAAAAATATGTGACATGTCAAAAAGTTTTAACTTTAACCATAATTTTAACAGTAGATGAGTCGAGATTCAAAGCATAAAATATCAAGGTTATTAAATTAAACTTTTAAAAGTTAGGACTTGATGTGCAACTAACTCAAAGTTAAAGGGGTTATAAGTATTTTAGCCTATTTAATATATAATAATTTAATTAATTAATTTATTATTTTCATAACTGTGGTTTACAAGTTTTCAAATTAGTAATTAAAACATAGCTTTTATTTTCTCTTTACAATGATATATCTCAAAGTATAAAACTAATAAAAATAATTAATATAATTTTTCAGAAATTTTTTGGTTTATTTTATTTAAAAAAAGAAAGATTGATAAACGACTATTTAACACATTTTATAAATTATAAATACGAGAAGACTGCACCGAATACAATATATAGTAATAGCATGAAAAATCAAAATGAATTGGGTGTTATGGAAATTAAAGTAGATGAGTTTAAATTAAAGTGGATTGTTCATATTTATTTCAGTTTCATGGGTGTGAGGGCTAAATTACTCAGAAATTATAACAATCATAAATTAAGCTAATAGGATATTTTGCATTAATACATAAAAAGTAATTGATAAAAAATTATTTTCTATCATATTCTGTGCATGCAAAAGATATTACTAAGCTTTATTCATCTATCCAAGTTGCCCAAAAAATTTTAGATATAATTTACATCTATTTATAATATAGAAATTTTAATAAATCGCATTCCTTATACAAAAAAAAAATATTATTAATTACTTAGTTCTTTGAATTCAGTATTAGCATAAAATTAAAGCAGTGGCAAATAAATGAATAAAATAAATTACTATAGTTTTCAACCATTGGAATCTTGTTGGTAAAAAGGGGAAGAAAAGAGAAAGAAAGAAACAAAGAAAACATTTGAATCAGTTTACTTAGTTCCCTTCTTGGAGGGGGGAAAAAAAATCAAGGATCAAGTCTCGAAAGTTATGACAGTTTTTTTATCACTGTTTGTTCAAGAAGAGGAAAGGGTCAACCATCACGTTGACCCCTTTCTTTTCTGTATTTTTCTTTGAATAGTAAGAAAACAGATGGAAATGGCAGAATTGATTGTAACGCTAAATAGAGTAATACATTATATACTAAGGAGTGAGAAAAACAGAAAGGGATTAATTAAGAAACCTTCATCTTCTGGTATGAGTTGAGCATTGGATCCATAGTTCATGAAAGCTGTCGAAGCAAAGCATCCAAAAACAAAAAGATATAAAAGTTTAGAAATTGAGATCCCAAACTCCATTTTGGTTGTTGTGGTTTGAAGAAAATAACTCTGCAAGGAGCAAAGGAAGAAGCAGAATCACATAATAGCAAAGCGCAAAAGAGGACAGAAAAAGAAGCTTAGGATGATGCAGTAGAGATAGAGGCACGAAGAAAAGAAAAACAAGTGAAGATTTCTACAAGTCTTCTATTTTTTTGTAAATTAATAAAAGGTGTTTCTCTTGCCTCAAGAAGAGGTAACAAGGCTGCTGATTTTTTGGCAGGATGTGCAGCAAAGAGGTTGTACCAGAATGAGTGGTTGGCCTCAGTCCTATCCTCTTTAAGCGTGTTTTTAGCTCATGACCAAAGGAAGGAAATCAAAGGGTAGTGCACGTCTAAGGGAAGGTATTGGCTGACGGGTCCGTGTTTGTAGTTGGATTTTAATTTTTTTGTCTTGTTTGTATTTTTATTTTCGGTATTTTGTGTTAGGCTGTATCTTAGATTTTTGAGAGTTTATTTTGGCCTGTTTGTCCTATTTTTTTATATTAATAAAATTGATTTTTTTGGTCCGAAAAAATAAAAATAAAAGGCATTCAACATCTGCAAGCTGTTTCATAGGTAATGTGATTTTATTAATATACACCAAAATATCACATACACACACATATATTTAAAATGGTATTATTTAGATGTATCTTTAAGAAGTAATTTTATTTTAACCAAGATGATATCATATTCATATAAGAAGGGATATTTAGAAGCAGTTGCTTATGAGATGGAGTGTGATGACTTTGAGGTCTACTGTGAAGTAAAGCACACCATTCATATGTGTCTGGAAATGGGAAATAGAAAGATATAATACATCCAATCAAATTAAGAATAAGACTTTTTGATTAATCTCTCAAATTAGACTAAATCCATGAAAATGAAAATGTGGTCCAAGAGGAAAAATTACATTTCATAAAGTGATAAAGAATCTTTCTCATCACTAACGTATATTTTTTATTACTTTGCAAGCTGTACGATATAGTGATAATAAAAATATAGTCCTTGATTAATAACATACTATTTGTAGAGTCAAAATTTCTCCTCATCACGAATGTAATTTTCTTTCTCTTTTGTTGCATCAACTTCTTTTTGGGGGCAACTTAGTGTTTGAAAACTACTAGTAATATTTTTTAAACCAACATTTTAATTATTTGCTATACTCACAAATTTTTTATCAAATGATAATTTCCTATCAAAATAAGACTAATGCCATGAAAATGAAAAGGTATGTGGTCCAATAATTAAAATTACACTTCATAAAAAACAAAAAAGCTTATTATCATCACTAACATATATTTTGGGATTACTTTGTAGCCTTACAATATAGTGATAATGAAAATATGGTTTTTGACGTTATAATACCGCCTCGTAGGGTCAAAAATTCTTCTCATTTCTAACTTAATTTTCTTTCTCTTTCATTGCATCCACTTTATATTTGAAAAGTCTACCTGGCCATGTGCCTACTCTTTTGAGGTGGATGGGTGAATGAGTCCTTTTCATTAAAAAAATAATTATTCAGTTATTAAGTTTGTAGAAATATTATTCTATTTATTTTGGGGTTTTTTTTTTAAAATCCTTATAATCTATCTATATATCTATTTTTAACTTGCCAAACGCACTACAAAACAACATGCAATTAGTAACGGAATTTGACAACAAAATTAGCAACGGATTAGTGATAAAATCGAATTAGTGATGGAATTTGTTCCGTTACTAATTTCTCTGTTGCTAATTGAATTAGCAATAGAATGAAATTTTTCATCTTTAGTTACTGACGAAAATTTTTTGTCACTAATCCGTCGCTAATTACTGACAGCAATTTCTGTCACCATCTGTCGCTACCTTGATTTTTGAAAAAATAAAATAAAATGCCACGTGGTGACCTATTAGTTGCCATGTCATTGTCGAGGACTACCACCGGCCACCTCCACGTGTTGCTGCTACCTCTCACATCTGCTTGTCACATATTGTTACCACCTCACATGTCACCTTGTGACGCCACGTGTAGCCACTACATTATTCCTCATTAAAGTGACTTCTCCATAGCTTGAACCGAAGACCTCGTCTATGCATGTGTGCAACTTTACTAGTTGAGTTGCAATGAGCCTGTTGATTTATTATGCAAAATTATATATATAGTAGTCTTTTACATAAACAATTATATGTACATATATATTATTTAAAACTAAAAATAAACTATATGATAATCTTAATCATAACTATTTTAATGAAAAAATAATTTTTAAATATTTGTTTTATTATTTATTTTATAATTTTTTATTTCTTAAAAAATATTTTTAATATAATTTTAATTTCCAATAACAATAATTTTGAATTTTAAATCATAAATAATTTTTTCATAAATTTGTTTTTTAAATTAACATTCATAAGATATATAATTTAATTATATATGTATTATATTATATTATATTCTCTATATGTGTTTTATATGTTTGATAAAAACCATGTATAATTCCTAAAAAAAAATCTTTTTATTCAAAAAATAGTTACCATAATAAAATCTTATATATTATTCTATATAAAAAATTAAATGATTTGAATAGATTATGATAAGTAATATTCTCTTACTTGTATATGTATCCTATATAATTTATTTTCTTACAATTCTTTGTATGCACTATTTGTTTTTGTATTGAAGACCAAAATTAATCTATGTCATGGGTATTAATTATATCATGATTAAATTTTAGGAAAAATTGCAAAAAAAGACTTTGGAATTGTAAAAACACAGATAGAGACCCTTGACAACTTCACTATAGCTTTTGACAATAATAATATGTCATGAAGTTGTCAAAACCCAAAGTGAAATTGTCAATGGTCCTTATCTGCATTTTTGCAATTTCCTCTAAATTTTATTGTTTAATGATTGAAATTCAAAATTCATTTCAAAATTAGTTTGATTAATAATCATAAATTGAGATATTCATATAATTCATTTTTTGGTTTTGAATTTCTATCATATATACATATATTGTACATATTATAAAATTATTTCTTTCTTACATCAGTTTGTATAAGAAAGTTATTAATATTCTTATTATATTTTTTAATTATTATTAATAATCAAGAGGAATTGATTTTAATGAAATATAAATAAGTTTTCTAAGAAATTGTCTTTCTATTCTCAGTATGTACCTACTGATGACATGAACGATGATGATACCTTTATTAACATCAACTTCACAAATATATTAATTATTTTATAATTAAAAATATATTTAAATCATTATATTTTTAATTATGTTATTATATAAATTATTGTAAGATTATAATCTAAAATAATGAAATTTAAAATTAGTGACGGAATTGTGACATAATATAATTAGTGACGAAAACTTCTATGACAAATAAGTTAGCAGCGGAAAATTTCCATTGATAAAAAATTTTATAATTAAAATTAGGGATGAAAATTTCTAACGAAAAAAATTCCATATCTAAATATTTACTAATGGATTTTTTTCATGGATTAGAGCTGGAATTTAGCAACGGACAAAAATTTCGTTGCTAATCTATCACTACTATTAGTCATGAAAAAATTCTGTCAGTAATCTATCGAAAATTAGTGACGGAATAATTTTTCTTCAGTAATAAGCTGTTTTTTTTGTAGTGACGCATCATTAGTGCATGTCCCTCCCTACAATTTATAAATCAAGGTATCAATAAATTCAATTCATGGTTGCATATTCATCTATTAATAATATTTTAAAACCATGCAAATATTTAAAATGCACACCCAGAGATAGAGAGAGAGAGAGAGAGAGAGAGTACCGTTTAAAGACTGGGTATTTTTATAAATGCACAAAGCATCAAAGATAAAAAAAGTGATATCTTATGTGCTGGTCAAATAAAAACTGTGTAATATCTATAATTTATGTTGTTAAATTAAATTTTAAACTTTTAAAGTTAAAACATTATTTTCAAAATGAAAAAAAAAAAATTTCCCAAGTCCTCATGCTAATAACTAATCTGCTTTTTAGCCGAACTTAAATATTATCACGAGATAGGGGTGTTCACGGGACGGATCGGGACCGGGACAGGCCCGTCCCGGTTCCGTCCCGATGAACAGTAACGGGACAGATTTTCTGTCCCGTGTCCCGGCCCGTCCCGGGGTTGTCCCGGTCCCGGTCGGGACGGGACGGATCCGGGACGGGACCGGGACGTCCCGAAATAATTTTTTTTAATTTTTTTAATTTTTTTTAATTTTTTTAAAAATCTAATTTTTTAATTATATTTTTTTGAGCTTAAATCTTATAAAAATATCTTTTTTATTTGTTTGGGCACTCTTAAACAAAAGCTCAAAATATTACATATAATAGTTATTAAAAACTCTAAACAAAAGCTTTTAACACAATAAAAACTTGCTAAAAATTCTAATCATCAATAATCTCAAATCATTAACAAATATAAAAACTCTAAATAAATATATCCATAGTTCCATACAATAGTCTCAAATCTTAAAAAAATATGAAAAAAATGATATTATATAAAAATTAAAAAAATTAAAATTTTTTTTTTTAAAAAAAAGGAACCGGGACGGGACCGGGACGGGACGACCCTGTCCCGTGTCCCGTCCCGTCCCGGTCCCTTTTTTGTCCCGTCCCGAAAAATTTCGGGACGGATCCGTCCCGTCCCAATAAGACCGGGACCGGAACGGGCCGACCGGGACGGGCCGGCCTTGAACACCCCTATCACGAGAGATGCCTTTTGTAATTTGGGATTGGCATTGTCCTTACGTGCCTTGACTTTTCTTGGCAACGGAGGGAGACAAAATAATTAAATAAAGTATACTGCCTCAAGTAAAAATAATAGATTTCCAGTTTAGTTACATTTTTTTAATTAGTGATAGTAAAGAAAAAGCTGTACAGGAAATTAGAAATGCCAAGTTAAACATGCCATGCACTTGCAAAATAGGAGATAGAAAGATCATAATGCATCTA